GGGTGGGGGGGGATGGACGGACAGATGGACTGTTTTATGATGTATTCTTTTTAATGTTAAAGTTTGTTAAATCCATTGTGTATAAGCAAATTCCAGATGGCCACTAAAAGAAAAACCCAAAAGGTTGTTTTCCTGATGCACTATTGAAGTGAAAAGGAGACTTAACTGTAGAACCCATGCTGCTGGTGCTACATGGCTTAGTGAGAAAAAGAGAAATCTATGTTAACAAACCTGGGTGCAGTTAAAAATAAGCAGGTAAGAGGAAAACCTCCTTATTATAGCTTGATTTTTTACAAAGGATAAAGAAAATACTCATTCCTACCACAAGGAACATCTTCACTCCCATTCTGTCATTTCCTTTTATAGGTCTCTCTTACTGATCTGCTTTTCATGACAGTCATTTACCACAGCACACAAGCTTCTGCCTATATACCACTGGTGACATGCAATCTTACGAAGATTTAATACCACATAAAAAACACAAGGCTGTATCACTAGAAGACTGTAAGAGTCTCTATGAACTTAACGTTTTTTGCGTAGACTCTGTATTTTACAGAGGCAATTTGATTTCCATTTTCTTGAGTTCCACACTGGAAAGTAACTGAATGGGTATCTTGCAAACTTTCATAATAGCTGAATCATTGGGAAGAATGTGTGCGGTCTAACCATATATAAAAGTAAAAAACCCCAGGGGGTTGTATTTTTTCTAATAGATCTACAAAGATGAGTTGCGTTGTGTCAGATGCACAGAAAAGTGCTTATTCTACTCCTGGCAGCTTTCAACCTGCCAGGACCTCCTGGCCCCTGGGAACATTTCTCCCATCTCTTCAGTACCTCCCACTTGAAGAACTAGGAAGGGCAACAAGGTTGTGACTTGCTGACATGTATGCGCTCACTAGCCACTACGCCCCATTTTTCTGAAATAATAGTAAACAACACTCTCTAAAATGATTGTTTCTCTCACATAAACAGCAAATTGAAGCTGCATAAAGGGGCTAAGCCATGCAAGCCCCCATATTATCAACTTGCCAGTGATAAATCAGGGCTTATGTGCATTGTGACAGCAAAGGAAATAATCTACCCATAAGTCTGTACAATGCAGATGGAACATGTGGTAAATACATGGAGTATGCAATTCTTCTGCTCAATTACCTTGTTTGGAATTAACATCTTCCAAACATATTTAAATTGATTTTCAGGAGGTATATAAATACAAGACATCTTCACACAGGCAAGGTCCTCAGAAACTGATATTCCCCTTACAGGAGGAATTTTATAATAGGTACATCATCAACTATATGAAACATCTCTCTATAGATCATAAAATTAATAATTCTTCAAACCACAGCATGTTACTTGGAAATCATTCTTGCCCTTAAAATTACTTAAAATACTTTTTGCTTGGTCTAATGTCTGGAACTAAGCACATAGCAGAAAAATTATATTTTACAGGGACTTGAAATCAAGCGCACATCAGTACAGAAATGAGATCTGAAACATTACTGGATTGCTTAACAGGGTAATTGGAGGGTGGAATGCAATCACTTCATTCCATTTCCACCACACGAAGAGAGAATAAGGATGTTTCCTCTGAATCAACTTATTTGCTCTAGATTACTGTACCACAGTGCTCCACTTACATCCAGTCTACTGGACCCCGGCATTCCTCCACATGGACAATACATTTTGCTTCAGTCCCAGGGCATCCACTGGTTAACAGAACTTCTCGAAGGCCAATCCTTTGGGGAGGGTGGTGGTGGGGAATCTTTTACTCTGTATTTCTTCCTTTCTTTCATACTCTGTTTTGCTTTCTCCTTCTTTATCCTGGATGTTAATATGATGTATCTACCAAATACCAGGCAAATCAGATTTCACAGTGCCTGCTAAAGCTATCCCATGTTGGTATCTAAGATTTTAAGACAACATCTACTTCTGTCAGAATCTGCACCCTAGGGAGTAAGATCCTTGGAATCATCATGTGTCAGAAAGAGGACTGAAAATTAATTCAAAACTTTTCTTACAGAAAAACTATTTGAAAATAAACTAATATATGTTCTGTAAAACAGTTTATTCACTTTAAATTTGAAAGCATTCAGGCTCTTGGTTTTTAAAAGCTCAGATCAGATGGCACAGAGAATATTGTACAGACTGCCAACTCAGTCTGCCTCCAATCTTGTGACTGTCTGAGTGTCTTCAACTCCCACCAAGGTCAAAAGACGCTGAAGGAACTAGAAACCTCCTAACACTGGGACTGGGGACTCTGAAGTTACCTAACAGTAACTGACAGTGAGTGACACAGGTATACCATCAACAGCCTCCGAAATGAAGATTCTCCAAGCATGGGCTCGTGGTCAGTAACACAGGGCTTCTTGTGACAAACAAGTAAAATCATGTTGATCACCAGGACTCCACCTGCAACATGGAGGGTCCTACTGAGGCAAAGAACAGGAGGTAGCCTATCACTAAGGTGCAAAGTTAAGGAAAATTCCTACACAGTGTTCAAGGAAGAAAAAAAATGTTCTCTCTCACTATCAGGATTTCAGGGGGAACATCCTCATTTTAACAATTATGAACAAATTCTAAACAAGTGCTATAATTGTTTTTGCCAAACAGTGTGTACACAGTTCATTGGAATGACATAGCTTGTGGGGGAGGCACGAATAATATGTTTAGGCCAAGTAAACACTGGAGGTTTTGCCATTTTTCCAGAAGCATTTTTCTTACTAATAGGCATGGAAAAAGGAGAGTTAATCCTCCCTTGCAGTAGAATAATAAATAGGAAATTGGCTTGAATATTGGATTTATGATGCATCTGCCTTCCTTAAATGTGTATTATATAAACCAATGGATTTCAGAGTGTTTCAGAGATGTCATGTAATGCATGAAACAGAACTTCAAGTGACAGAGGGAGACAACACCACTTTCTGAAAATGACACGAAACGAGGATTGTTCTCCGCTCCAGAGAATGTTTCATCTCATGGATGCAGAGACAGAGGTGTAAATGGCAGTGAACTGACACTTTTATTAAAGGCATTCCTCTTTCTTCAATGCCATGTAGGTTTTTTAGTTAAAAAAAAAAAAGACAGAAAACTTATGAAAAGCCAGAAGATGAAATCCAGGTGCTAGACTGTGGTCACATTCATCAGGAAAAATCTCACCATGTCTTACCTATGGGAACATTAAAATTTGGGAAGTATATCATACTCAAAAGGGCTGATGAAAAAAGCTCCATTAGATCTGCAAGTTCTTTTGGTACTCCTCTGCCTCTTTCTTTTGAACAGCTTTTTCTTTCATTCCCATGTTTCCTTTCCCCACCTCTTCTTAATAGTTGTCAGTGCTGATGAAATTAATCTACTGAGATGCTCTAACAAATGAAGTCCTAACTTCAACAAGTCATACAAGTTAACCTAACAGAAAACTAGTCACAATGCAGTAAAATAAATTACCAAAATGAAATTCACCCTAATGTAAATTAGTAGACTGGGGTAGGGGTGGTGAAGAGGGATAACCCACAAAGAACTGAATACTTAGCAACACAAAACCAGCAGTTAGTAGAGAAATCTAGAGGTAAGAGAGGCCAAAACGATTAAACCACAAAGAGACTAAGGCAAAACATGGTGGGATGTCTCCCATGACTGGAGTGCACCAATTGATGGCTACAAGCTCTTTAGGAGGGATAGACAAGGAAGAAGAGGCGGTGGGGTGGCTCTGTATGTTAGGGACTGTTATGATTGCTTCTAACCCAAGTGTAGTGAAGACAGGGTGGAGTGTCTTTGTGTTAGAATCAGGGGGAAGGCCAACGGGGCAGATGTTGCAGTAGGAGTCTACTTTTGGCAACTCAACCAGGATAGAGAGGTGGATGAAATATTGTATAGGTACTCAGGAGAAATCTCACAATCGCTTGCCCTTGTTTTTGTGAGAGACTTTAACTTCCCAGATATCTGCTGGAAATACAACACAGCAGAGCGGGACCACTCCCAGAGATTCCTGGAATGTGCGGGAGATAAATTCCTGACACAGCTGGTGAGCAAACTGACCAGAGAAGGTATCCTGGTGGATTTCCTCTTTGTGAACAGATACGGACTGGAGGATCATGTGGTGGTTGGAGGCCAACTAGGGCACAGCGATTATGAATAGAGAGGCCAGGAGAGGGGGCAGCAGAACTGAAATCCTGGACTTTTAAAGAGCTGACTTTGTCTTGTTTAGGCACCTGCTTGACAGAATCCCCTGGGAGATGATCCTGAAGGCTATAGGGGTCCAGGAAGGCTGGACACTCTTTAAGAAGAAAGTCATAATGGCTCAGGAGCAGGCTGTCCCCAGGTGCTATAAGAGAAGCTGGCAACCACCCTGGCTGAACAGGGAGCTTTGGCTGCAACTCAGGGAGAAAAGGAGAGTTTATGACCTTTGGAAGAAGGGGCTAGCCACTCACAATGATTAAAAGATGCTGTGAGGCTATGCAGGGCAGAAATCAGGAGGGCTAAAGCCCATCTAGAAATTAATCTGGCTTCAGCAATCAAGGATAACAAGAAATGTTTCTATAAGTATGTCAACAGCAAAAGAAAGACCAGGGAGATCTCCATCCACTGCTAGATGCTGGAGGAAACATGGTAACAAGTGATGAAGAAAGGTCTGAGGTACTTAACGCCTTCTTTACCTCAGTCTTTAATAACAAGACCAGTTGTACTGAGGGAATCCAGCCTCCTCAGCCAGAAGACAGAGACTGGGAGAATGACCCCCCACAACCAAGAGGAGACAATCAGTGACCTGCTGCATCACACAGACACACACAAGTCTATGAGACTGGATGGGATACACCCGAGGGTGCTGAAGGAGCTGGATGGAGTGCTTGCCAAGCTGCTTTCCATCATTTACCAGCAGTCCTGGCTGACCAGGGAGGTCCCAACAGATTGGAAATTGGCCAATGTGACATCCATATATAAGAAAGGTCAGAAGGATGATCTGGGAAATTACAGGCCTGTCAGCTTGACTTTGATGCCTGGGAAGCCGATGGAGCAGCTCATCCTGAGTACCATCACACAACACATACGGGACAACCAGGTGATCAGGCCCAGTCAACATGGGTTTATGAAAGGCAGGTCCTGCCTGACAGACCTGATCTCCTTCTACAACAGGGTGACCTGCTTATTGGATGAGGGAAAAGGCTGTGGATGTTGTCTACCTTGACTTTAGCAAGGCCTTTGACACCGTTTCCCACGGCATTCTCCTGGCAAAACTGGCTGCTCGCAGCTTGCATGGGCACACACTTTGCTGGGTAAAAAACTGTCTGGATGGCCAGGCCAAAAGACTTGTGGTAAACGGAGTTAAATCCAGTTGGTGGCCAGTCATGAGTGGTGTCCCCCAGGGCTCTGTTTTGGGGACACTCCTGTTTAACATCTTTATTGATAATCCGGATGAGGGGATGGAGTGCACCCTCAGTCAGTTTGCAGATGACACCAGGTTGGGTGGGAGTGTTGATCTGCTCGAGGGTAGGGAGGCTCTGCAGAGAGACCTGGACAGGCTGGAGCCATGGGCTGAGCCCAACTGGAGGAGTTTCCATAAGGCCAAATGCCAGGGGCTGCCCTTGGGCCACAACAACCCCCAGCAGCGCTACAGGCTTGGGGAGGAGTGGCTGAAGAGCTGCCAGTCAGAGAGGGACATGGGGGTGTTGATTGACAGCCGGCTGAACAGGAGCCAGCAGTGTGCCCAGGGGGCCAAGAAGGCCAATGGCATCCTGGCTTGTGTCAGCAATAGCGTGGCCAGCAGGGACAGGGAAGGGATCTGACCCCTGTCCTCGGCACTGGTGAGGCCGCACCTCAATTTCTGTGTTCAGTTTTGGGCCCCGCACTCCAAAAAGGACATTGAATGACTCGAGCGTGCCCAGAGAAGGGCAGCAAAGCTGGTGCAGGGTCTGGAGCACAGGTCGTAGGAGGGGCAGCTGAGGGAACTGGGGGTGTTTAGTCTGGAGAAGAGGAGGCTGAGGGGAGACCTCATCGCCCTCTACAGCTCCCTGAAAGGAGGTTGCAGAGAGCTGGGGATGAGTCTCTTTAACCAAGTAATAAGCGATAGAACAAGAGGGAATGGCCTCAAGTTGCACCAGAGAAGGTTTAGACCAGATGTCAGGAAGCATTTCTTTACAGAACAGGTTGTTAGGTGTTGGAATGGGCTGCCCAGGGAGGTGGTGGTGTCCCCATCCCTGGAGGTCTTTAAGAGTTGGGTCAACATAGTGCTGAGGGACATGGTGTAGTTGGGAAATGTCAATATTAGGTTAATGGTTGAACTGGATGATCTTCAAGGTCTTTTCCAAACTTGATGATTATGTGAAAATTGAGGTAAGTATGACAAGACATCATTAACATATATTTTAATAATGCTTTAATGACTCTGTAAAAGTGGACTATGACCAGAGGAGCAAGGAATCTGAGCCACAGCATTACTGGGGAAAAATTAAGAACATTGAGTCAGTTCAGAAAGCAAGAAATATGAATAGTTAGATGAATCTATGGAATAAGAAGGACTATGAAGGAGAGAAAGAGCTTACAGCTTTACTGGAAGAACCAAGAAGCTACCTTGCAGTCTTTCAACAGACAAACATGCCATGCATTGAACAGCCCAGACTAGAATGAAGGCTACAGACATGATCTGAACTCCAGATATGAGATGATGCCTTTTCTCTTTTTTGTTAGAGCTTCCCTTTCTTGATTCTTCAGTAAGATTATATAATTTTCAGAATTAAAGGCTTTAAACATTTCATATTTAGTCTGTCTGGGATGGATTTAACTTTCCCATAGCAGCCCTCACAGTGTTGTGCACTGTATTTGTAGCTGGAAGGGTGTTGATAACACAACAATGTTATGGCTACTGCTGAGCAGTGCTCTCACAGCATCAAGGCTGTCTCTTCACACTCGTCCCAAAGACATGTAAGGCTGGGGGTGGGCAAGAGGCTGGAAGGGGACACATCTGGGACAGCTGACCCAAAATGACCAAAGGGATATTCCATACTGTATGATGTCTTGCTCAGCAATAAATGATAAGAGAAAGGGGAAACATTTTTATTAAGGAGATTTTCTTCCAAAGAAACTGAAACCCTACTCCCCAGAAAGTGACTGGACGTGACCTGCTGATGGGAAGTAGAGAATAATTTTGTTTGTTTTCTTTCCTTCTGTTCACAGCCTTTGCTTTTCTTTATTAAACTGCCTTTATGTTGACCCATGACTTTTTCGTCTTATTTTGTCCCCTGTCCTGCTGAGGAGGGGAATGATAGAGCAGCTTGGTGGGCACCTGGAGTCTAGCCAAGGTTAACCTCCCACAACATTAACTCTGAGGGACCAAAGATAAAACTGAGACAAAATTTAGTGAAATTCTCTAAAAATTTGAAACATCTGCTAGAGGGATGGGACTTAAGGAGCAGTTTCTTAGTATCCAAAAGATGTGTGCATCAGAGCAACTGAGGTTATTAAGAATATGGGGATACATATATGGCATGGAACATATAAGCAGATTTGAAATTATGAAGGGCAAAAGTATGTAGAAGAAAAAAACCCACCAACTCCTAAACCCATTAATGTCCTAAAACGTGGTGAAGGAGGGAATCAAGGAAGTTCTATCCCTGGAAATGTGAAAAACTGACTGTAAAAAAGCTAAAGGCATACTCTAGAAAACATCAGATCGATGAGGGCAAAAACTCACCTCTCTTTTCTTCTGTGGTCTTACAAGAAGCTAAATTTGTTCAGAAAAAAATTAATAGCATTTCTGATTCAAGATTGCTTCCTAAGCAATATAATTACCACCTCACAGCAGTTTCTATCATCACCTCAAATGCAGAGATGTCTTCTTAAGGCTTATCTCATTTTTCCCCTTTCCTTTCCTACTCCAGAATGATACCTCTCTTCTCCACTGCACAATTTATAAATCGTATCAATGTGGAATACAGAACAGGCTACTGCAGGCAAGCAATTTTTTGGCAATATTGTATGTGGGAAGACATCTGTGAGAAGCATCAGAAGATCTTTCATCTTCTGAACATCTCACAGATGTTCACAAATAGCGAAAATTGTTACTTTGGGGAAGGCAGCTCATGTGCCAATAAACGTAGGGAACTGGTTTAAAATAGGAGCTTGCAGGCTGTGAAATTAATAAAACAACAGATCTGACCTAAACTCCTAATGACAATCAGCCTGATTGTTTTTGTTAATTATAGTTATTGGCAATTGAAATCAATGAGAGGTGAACGAGGGCAAGCAAATTACAACTGCTAAATTGCTAGAGTTAGCACTTTTTTTTTTTTTTTTTCCCGAAACAAATGACAATATGTTTTATTCATCTGCTTTGCTACTTACCACATGTAACAGTGCATACTCCAAATTCTACTTCCGTGGACACAGTGGTATTCAGACCTGAACACAAGTCAAATCTCTAATACAATCACAAGGGTGGAAATGCCCAATTAACAGGAAACTCACTCCTTGAAATCTTTACTACTTTTCAGTTGAAATGTGAAATTTGCAAACTTTTGCTTTCATTGTTTAGACCAGAAAAACAAGACATTTATGAAAAAAAATATAATAAAATCAAGTGTGAATAGCATTCATGTTTAAACCTTAAGATGATTATTTAAAAGCAAAAAAATGATGTAATTTTCTTATAAAGCAAGCTATGATGTTAAATTAGTCTACTGAATGCTCTGGGAAGTGCAGTGTCTAGGTTCTATGCAAATTATAGGTTTTCCCTATAAGAGTTAAGAAAAAATTTCATTAAACAATATTCAGTTAACTCATTTCCTTGTTCTTTCTGGCTAACGTACGCCTTCCCACATGATTGTTTTCCCCATCACACTTCAAGGTCAGGTTTAGACAGCCAGCACAAAGATGAGTCAACCAGGTACAGTATTTTAATTAGGTACTGGGGTTTTAATCACTATGATTGGGTTCCTTCCATTTTTTAATGGTACTTTGAGGTTACAGAATGGGTTTCACAGAATGTAAAAAAGCAAAAGGTTCTCATCTCCATCTGGGATTCAATTATGGATTACATCTTTTATTCCTAATAGCATGCAATTTGAATGTTTGTTTATAAAGATACTGAGACAGAGTAACTGTTCCATAGAGAAACTAACTTAACAAAGGTCCTTTAGAAATTATTCATTAAATAAGCAATAGGTCTTTTCAATTCTTCCAAATGCAAAGAGAAAGTCACTATGACTGTTTTTACAAGTCTACACTGCCAGTCTCGCCTACGCAGATTATTTTTTTCTGATAACAAATACTTACCAATGTAAAGTTTGCTTTCACTGTCTCTCAGTTTTTTATATTCAAGATTTATGTTTACGACATGTTATTTCTGTGCAGCAATGCAAGTTTATATATCACTTCTTGCTACTAAATCTCTGAGTAACATTTACATTTTCACACACTATCCAAAACTTTAAATTTCTCAGGTTGAAAGGAACGGATCCATTTCTCTTGCAGTCAGTGATATACAAATATAAAACCTTTATTCCTCCATTGTAAAGGATTTACACTACAGCAGCATGGTGCATTCTCCACAACGATACACTGATACCGAACTCTTCTTCCCAACATTATAAATGAGCCATCAAAATCTTATTCTTCTGTTATCTCTAACTGTCTCTGTGGTTTTGACGTTTACTTCAGCTCATCAGTATAGTCTTCTAGCTTATGCACCACAATCCGTAAACAATAATTTAACTGTCCAGTTAATGAATGATAAAAAATCCAACCTTAGCCAAAACATAAGGAAAAAAATGGTAAGATTGAAATCCTATGAAAACAGAGACAACCTTTAAAAGAGCTAGTACATCCTCAAACTCTATCTCTAATTAGCCTTAAAAAACCAACAACTTCTTTAGAAGATGGTCTCCACCATGGACATCCTATCATGTTTCCCTTAGCTACTTTTAAATTAATGGGGCAGTCATTCAACGGTCTTTCTAATGACTACCAGAGTATAGCAGAGAGGAGGAGGAGATAAGGATCCTGTCTACAGTCTAAACACAGCCCTGTTTAAAAATACCTGTTTTCAACTTGGTACAACATGAGCTGCGCTGTTCGCTTGTGCACAATAAATGTAAACATGCAAAAACGAATGGGAGGGAGGGCTAGGACAGCTTCAGATGATGTAACTTCTCAACTCAATAGATTTCTGACAATTCATATCAGCTTATGGTAAGCCCCAAACCTCTACCCTGAAAACAGGCATTACTGTTATTCAATTTTGAGATGACAAGCAGAGTGTAGCCAATGCAGGATATTATCACATCTGAAAGAAGAAGCTGCCATCTCCCATTCAGACACAATTTTTTTAAAAAACGAAGAAAAAGCTTTAGAAACAAGAAACAAAAGAGACACAAAACTTTGCATATTACTAATAGAAGGTTGAGGGACTTTTCTAACCAATGAAAGCAAACTTCTCCTAATTATTGGTGAAGATATCAACCATGGTACTCTTTCAGGATGCTTCTGGCTTCAGAAGCACCACAACGTGCAACATGGCTCTTCTGTCAGAGACTCATAATGATGAACTGACTACAGCTCTAAATAAAAAAGATACTGTATTTTCTAAGTAGTAATCCTCTGAATAAACCTTTAAACACATCTAAACATCAAAAGCTGATTGGTTCTAAATTAACAAGTTAATCAGGAATCACCAATCCTGACTGATATTAAAAAAAAAAAAAAAAGCAACAAAAAGAAACTTTAAGGGAAACTGGATCAGATTCACAGATAATCTTCTGGATAATGTAACGCTTTTTATATGAATGTTATGAACCTTCCATGCTAATATCACAATACAGAGTTTTGCATTGCTTCCTTTACTTGCATTTCCTCCATACATTTCAAATGAACCAAAATGTTAAGAAAGCTTCCAGTAAGGAAGTACGGATCTTTCTACTTATATAAGATGGCTGGTTCCGGTTGCATCGGGTTCAGATAAAAATATAGTGTCAGGCCTAATAAAAAAGAGTTATGTATATAGCTCCCATTAGCATTAATAGGAGTTATATATGTAAATCCCACACATGCTGAGATAAGGATGTGCTAAGGAACTGCATTTACATTCCTGTCAGGGGGCTGCAATTAGTACCAGCACAGCAAAGGCAGTCTGTAGTCCTCTCTACATTTGGAAGCCTTGTAAAACCTATGCAGAACAGAAATCTTTGCCATTATACACCATTTTAATTACAAGCCACATCTCAGCGCACATGCAGGATATCCTGATGAACACTTGAAAAGCGCACAGAAGTCCTGCTAAAGCCGCCAACGGGTGTCATGGCCGTGAACCCCTGGGGAACTCGCTCACTCCTGAGTTGGGTGCATCATTCCTGCCAAGTACTGAGGCTTCAGTATTTGTGGGGTCCCGAGGGTGAAAGGGCGGGCGGGCAGCACGGCTCCATCCCCACTGTGAGACCACACGGGGCACCTGAGGGGACGCAGGTTTCCCAGGACAGAAATCTCTCCACGGGCAACTAACTGGCTTTGCGCTTGACAACACATCAGCTGTGAACCTGCGCGGCTCGACGGCAGACGGAGGGGGTTTGCACGTATCCGACTCCCGGTAGCCCACACTTTTGGCCACGCGAGTGACGAGCAGACCCGGAGCTTCCCCCTGCGGGAGGGCCCCTGTGGTGCCGCACGGCGTAATAAAGCCCGGCATACGCTCCGACAGCCTCCCACCGCCTGCACGGGACACCCGGGAGAGATCGTTCCCGCCCGGCGGGGACTGCGCCGCGCTCGGGAGCACGCCTTAATAATTTCTTCCCAGGACACCTGCTCTCGCATGTGCAAAAGCAAACATGGAAGAAAATTCTTGGAACTGATCAAGCTGCTTCCCTAAAGGCTAGAAGAGAGGTTATTACTGCTATAAAATACTTGGGAGGCTCTCAGATCTTGAAGGCAGAGAAAGCTGGAGAAGTGTGAAAATACTATTTGATGGCAAATGAACCATATTTATTCAATAAAGTTCATGAAGCTGTCAAAGTTGATGTTGTCAAATAATAATTATAGCCTTAATAATAGCTCCTATTTCTATATTTTCAGGACCCAAAGTCATCTAGAACTAGAAAATGCGTCAATATTGAATAAAACCAGCTGTCTCCAGGGAAGGGGAAAAGATTGACCAAACAGGTTAAATCTAAGTGTGTATTCTAGTTTTACTTTCATTGAGACTTCTTCAACACACTTTCCCATCTATGTGTATGCACATGTAAAATATACCTATATATACACACAGATGCACATATATTCTGTGCCACTGTGGCTGCTTGTGACGGGATGCACGAGACAGTTTCCATGAAGGAAGGATTAATAATTTTCAGGAACAGCAGGGCTACATACTTCTCTAGAAGAAATAGATCTTTACCATTTCTACAGAATAAGCAGGAGCTCAGCTTTTTAAGCTGGGACCTAGTAAACAGCTGGATGGTATTTTGTGTATTTTCTCAAAATTATTAGTTAGTAGCAATGTCTTTTCCATTCCTTTGTTGTACTTCACATACCTGCTGTTAGTCTCTTTCTACAGTCTATCTTCTGCCAAGGGTCTCTCATTTTTTCTGAGCCTTCTTATTTTTCTGTTTTTGTAAAAATGGGGATGACAATACTAATGGCAATGGGCAATACCTACTTGGCTCATGCTGTTAAGTGACTCTGAGGAGCAGTAGTAAGCTCCCAAGTGGGCAGAGCTGTTCCACCTACTTGTGTTGCTCTCACAGCTGCTTGTACCACAGGCTGCCCAGAGAGAAGACTGGCAAACAAACAGCTTGGAAAGAGCTTGCAGCTGCTTGTTCTTCTCCCCAGCCTCAGGACAGCCATAAAGTGTTTCTGCAGTGGGAGTGTGTATTTGGAAGCTTTCTTCCAGGCTGCTCCTTTTCTCTCCTCGCTTGGCACCATCTCCCACACAATCGTTTTCCTCAGCCATTTACAGGAAGAACAGTCTGCCTGGACTTGTAGCCAGTATCACTCCCCTCGCCAGGGTTAGGAGCAGTGGGCAGAGTCACAGTACTACTTAAAATTACCCACATGTGAAGCTGGGGATGAGGGATGCGGCTAGGAGCAGCAGACAGAGCTTCAGTGTTACAAACACCTGGAATATGATTAGATCTTGATTCTGCCTTTAGGCTATATGGGATGTGGACTTTCAGTTTAGCCATATAGTGCAAAATGGTTTCTCACCGACTTTATTAGTCTAGTTGCTAATTAATAGACCAAATAACACCATTACCACAGTGCCAACAGATTTATACTTCAGCCTGAACTCATTCTCTGTAAGAACGTGGCCAGATTAGATGCTCAGTAGTTTTCTGTGTTAATAACTGTACTTGCAAAAGGTTCAGGTGGCATGCAGCCAAATGACATAGACAACATTTAGAGCGAGCTAGAGCAGCCTTGTCTCTTTTATTCATACTGATAACTCAGGTTGTCAACAAGGTAAGGAAGGTGTTTGATACTCTTAGAAAACAGAAGTTCCATGCAGTGCTGTTTTCTGTGACAGGACTCTGTTGGTCAATAGAATTTCTTTATTCTCTGTGCATGGACCAATAAATAATTCTGTTAAGTTGTATTTCATTGAAAGCTCCTGCGGCAAGAGCTCATGCCAGAAGGTCAGTGCATCTGTAGTGGTCAAGGGGAGGTGGGCAACAGTTCTAAAAAACGCCTCCTCTTGTTTTGTTCCTATGCACAGATAATGGCATGCCTCTTCCACTGGGTAAGAATTGTTGCCATAGTAATGTTTCCAGCACTCCTTTGGATCAATAGCAGAACAGAGGGTTTTTCAGGTATTTCTGTTGTTTGCAAGCCTGCAGTCACACCCCATATATATTTCTACTTCCCTCTGTAAAATAAGGTTTTTCAAAGATCTTTCAGTGCTGTACAATTATGCAAAGAAAGCAACAAAACATGCTGTGCAAAGATCTTGGGTCAGAACTAGACCTCTGATGGGCAAGTGCAGTTCTGTTAAGAGAGTAGAGTTACATTTGCCTAATCAAAGCCCTGAACTTGGCCCTTGTAGCCCTATCAACACCTCACCAAATGCAGGAACAAACCGAAGCTGCAGAACTGGTTGCATTTTTTGCTGAGGGTCCAGATGTAGTTCTATTCACAAATCAGTGAGATTTTTCAGGTGATTTAAAGTTCATTCACTGGTTCATGAACACTCTGTAGGTACCTGACATATTGCCACAGCATAGGTTCAAGCTGATTAGGTGCTACTAATTCTAGAATAGGAGTGAAATGGGAGATTTCCATAAATTAAGGGCTGAATCTACAAAGTGTGGATTTAGTCACTGCATCACCACTTTCAGCAATCACTTTCAACATGTAGATCATCAGAATCTGCCCATCTGCTCTACACATGTCAAAAGACTGTGTACGTGTTGAATAGAGGCCCCTATATTTCCACTACATAACCTAGCAGTTAGGGCACATCGCATTTGCAATGAGCTAATGTACTGGGAACAGTCCCATTCCCAGTAAAAATTTTGCAACAGTCATGCTGTGTAAGAGTTTTAAAAGTCAATACAAGCTGTTCATGCTACTTGATTTCAATGTTGGAGAATGGCTACAGGCACAATTAATGAATGAAGACAGGCTTTGGTTGAAAATGAAGCATTGCCATGTCTAAATGTTTTTTGTGAATTTAACATTAAGAACTGAGGACAAACTTTTCTGAGGTAGAAAATGTTCTGCTTGACATATTTATATAAAGCAATAAAGGAGAGCACAACTTGCTAGCAATGTATTTTGCATCTTTTTAGGAAAAACGTATCAAACTCCACTTAGATTTCTCCATGGCATAGTGATTCTTTTAGTTCAGTAGTTTACATCTAAACCTTACCATTCACAAGCTTATTATGCATTTCTCTATGCATAGATTCTTTTACAAAGAGTGATATTTGCCTACAGATGCTGCAGAAGGCTCCTTCAGGTATTACAGTTATTCACTTCTAATTGGAACGGGAACATGCTATCTTCTGCAATTATGTGGTACGTTTTTTAAATAGTGACTAATATTTCATTGCCTGCTGAAAACATCTCCAAATCACAAATACAAGTGGGTTCTGTGGGAACAGTGGTAATCAGCACCATAGACACAACTCTGAGAGATTCATTAGAGTTCCCCCACAATTCTTAGGCTGGTGTCTGCATGCATATATCACCACTGAGCCGAAAAAATTAGGCACTACTTCTTCTTTTCCTGTTATCTGACATTTCTCAGGAGATCTGGTATTTCATATCTACTTATTCTCCCCCTTCCTTGCTTCCACCAAAACTGGAGGAGTTTTCCTTTATCTTCTATAACTCCTTCTTCCTTGCTGGCAGCAAGGCCCTCATGCCTACATCTACACATTTGGACTTCCAGAAAGGAAGACAAGAGGAGGAAAGAGTAGGGGAGGAGAAGAGACATGCCTGGGTGTTGTCATGAGATAGAATCAGGATGCATCTAGACTGTTGACACTGGAAAAATCGCTCAAGTCCTGTGGCTTGTATGTAATTCTTTGTCTTTGTGGCCTTGTGAAGAGAAAGATGGGGGAATTCAACTGAGATTTCTGTCCATGGACAACAGCATGCTGTGTTGATATGATTTTTCCCATGTTATTTAGGAGGTGTACCTGTCTTCCTGACACCCAGCGTTTTCAACAGTACTTATTAAATATCTTATGGCAGAAATACCAGAGAATTCAGACTGGACTTTCTGATATAGTCCCATCCATTTTCTTGTTACTCTGAAGACTTTAGTGAGAAAGATTGGAGGTATTGTAACTCCGTGTGAGGAGAGAGATTGAGAACTGGGAGAATCCCTGCTGAAACAGTACAAACCAAAGGTCACATTTGGTTCCCACTGCTACAGCCCTCTTTGGTCAGAGTGGTTGTTCAGATGTAAATAGGGACTGAATACAAGTCAAATTAGTTAAAAGCCTGTTCAGGGGAAGGACAATAGAAGTTTTCTTAATAACATCACAGGGATCAAGAACTGAGCCCTGAACATCAACAGTGCTGATAAGGTACAGTTTTATCTGTTTCTGGCTTGCACTCAGCACCAGTGAAAATAAAGTCTGCACCATAAAAGAAATTCCAGGTATTGCAAGTAAATGGGTAAATTCATGGGCTAGCATTTCAGGACCAAAATTGTAGCCTTAAAATACAGCAACTGCAGGTGTGCACATCACCTGGTCATCCAGGTCTTTCTGTTAGAAGTCTGACTGATACCTTAGATCAGCTTGAGAATCTAATTGCTATAGTGAGGCCTTACTTTGTAGCTCAGTTGCTGTTTGTTCCCTAAGGGAATGCCCCTGAGGCTACCCCTGGCACTTCAGCCTTTCTGTTTATCCACTCTCTCATCCAGAATTCACCCGCCTCCACATGGTGTTCCTTGGCATCCTTGCTAGCACAGAGCTTGCAGGAACTCTAGCTTTGCTCGGCTCTGCACACAAGTGAGAAAAACGCGTGCGTATAAGCCAACACACGAATGCCCTGCCACCTGGCCAGAGGCAGACTGCAAGGCATTGCTAAATAGATGCCAGAGCTTCCACACTGTCCTACTAGCTTTCCCCATCAGGCAGCTCATCGCATTCAGGAATCATGCTGTTTTCGTCTGCTGTCCCCTGCAGTTTGGCAGAAGCATCCTCTGAAGAGACCCAGCAAGAGCTAATGCTTATTAAC